TATTTTACTAAATTATTTTGTTACAGCACTACAGTTTTGTTGATTGTTTAGAGGAAGGAAACTTGTTTACGCAACACATTTGACATATTCACTATTTTAATGATTAACATTGTGTGTTTCATATTATCTTTGCTCAAGTGACACTTTCAGCACAGTTTCCACTCACAATTTCAAAACTTTTCTATGATTTTTTCATGACCTAAAGTGAATTTCCATGACTTTACAGCACCTACATGTGTAGAACTGATCAGATTTTAAGGGCTAAATATGAAACGTTAACCCTTTCCACTCACCTTAGTGCATTTATTGTCGTCTCTTTTAAACAAAAGGCACAGACATTCAAAAATAATCATAATAGCCTAATGAGAACTTAACAGAACGCTGTAGTTGCGTGAAAGAGATACTAAAATTCCATGACTTTTCCAAAACTTTAATTGAATTTACAGAATTCCATGACTTTTCCAGGCCTCGAAAATGACATTTTCAATTTCCATGACTTCCATGACCGTGGGAACCCTGTTAGAATCACAACCATGATTTATCCGTTATTTTTTATTGAACCGTGTTGAATCGATTTGAAATATATCATAGCGAATCGAAAGTGCACTGTATCAAGATATGTATCATATCGTGGCCTGTGTATCGAGATATATATCGTATTGTATCAGCAACTTCTTAATGATCCCCAACCCCAATTATAGCAACACCACAAATGCCAACGGAATCAAAATAGCAAAGAATGGTTGCAACTAATGGCAATGTTTAACCTGCCTGTAGCCTGTTTAAATTTCAACTATGTTCTAAAATGCACGCAATTCTAAGATAATCTAAAGGTCCAATATTATGTAAAATTGTTATTACCTAATCAAAAACATACCTGGAGTTGTGTTTTGTTTCATTCACATGTTTGAATAACCATTTATTATTAGTCTGTCTAGATTTACCTTTAGCTCAGTAGAGTTTGGCAAATTCTTGGCTGAAATTAAACAAATGATTCTAATGAAGACGTATGGAGTTTAAAAACACATTGGAGCACTTTCTGTAATACCACGTGACATCACAAAATGAAATAAAACACAACTCCAGCCATGTTTGTGATGAGAAAACATTATAACATAGATCGTAAAACAGCGCAATATGGGCCTTTTTTAGTCAACTAAATTTCATTAGTCGACCACAGCCCTGGTACACGGCAAGTCGAGGTTGAGAAACCAAAGAGAGACAATGTGACATCCATAATAAGTCTTGAAATATCTTGGCAATGAACTAGATGGAGGATTGTGTAGAATTTGCATGACGTATGGAGTTTAAAAACACAGTGCAGCGCTTCTTGTATTACCACATGACATCACAAGGTGGAACAGAGTGTTTTCAGTTTGAGAGAAGAACCTAAATATGCAGGGCTTGTGTGTTAAACATGTGTGACTGAAACAAAACACAACTCCAGGTCTGTTTGTGATGAGGAAACATTATAACATAGATCAGAAAACAGCGTAATAATATGGCGCCTTTAAAAGTAGACATCAAACCTGAAACCAAAAACAATGCAGCAGTCTCACTAGCACCACCGCGCTCAAAGAAGCTAATTATAAACTCCATAGTGTCTGAGTGCGCTCCTTTGTACCATATACGCTTACTAAACACTTTCTCACCTCCACTGCCACCTCCGAGCTTTACCTTAAATCTCTTAAACCATACCTGCAAATCCCACACGCTCACCTTGGCACGATGGAAAAGGTTACACTTAAATGGGATGAGGGTTTTTTGGCCTAAGTTCTTAAGTTTTAAATGTTTGCGACCCGGCTGTTGGAGATCAGGACAATGGCGAGCCCTGTGCGGAGCCGTAGGTGTGTTATGTAACGCTAATGCATGAAAAGATCACTGTTTCACAGACACCCACAAGAAGGGAGCTTGTAAGAGATACAGACTGTGAAATGGAAGCTTTGAGGCGGTGGATGGCACAGTGTGAAGATAGTGTAGAATTTAAAACGTATAGAGCACTATAGAGGGACTATATTACGCTGTTTTCTTATCTATGTTATAATTCTTCATCAAAAACAGACTTGGAGTTGTGTTTTGTTTCATCCACATGTTGTTGTTCCCTTGAAAACTAACGCTTCATGACATCACAAGGTGGAACAGAGCATTTTGAACTTTGGAGATGTAGACAGGCCAATAATAAAGGATTACTCAAACATGTGCGAATGAAACAAAACACAACTTCATGCATGTTTTTGAGGAAATAACATGACATTGTTTTGCAGAATATAGGACATTAAGTTACCTAAAGAATTGGAGAAGGTGCATGGGCAGACAGACGTTTGCAGATTATGAATGTCCAAATTATTTGTTGAATTAAAGCCAAAGTCTGAGACTTCTTAGCCCTAGAAAAGACTAACATAAAATCATGGAAATCCTCCTTTGGCTATATTCTTCCACACACAGTATGTCATAAAACGTATATCTAAGTCCATGGAGAATGTTTTGAAGTATGGTTTTAATAATCAAAATTGCTCAGGTCACAAAAAATAATTGTGTGCTTTCAAATCAATCTACAGTCCATAAAAGTAAATCTAAATGTTAAGCACTTTTATATCTGTCACATTAACTTCTCAGCTCATAAACTAGAGGAGTGGGAGAAAGGATTTTACTGCTGTCATGTTATAATCATAAAGAATTGTTAAATTGAATTGTCATGTTTCTTCTCACAATAATCTTAAAACAAAATTCTGATATTATGACATCGATCTTGCAGATGTATATACATTTATATAACATACTCTTTAGCTTAGCCAGTGCTATTTTTTGCAAATGCTGCACTTTGGCTGCCACAATTTGCGTACAGTGTGACTAATAAGAAAACCACATTTGTTATCTTGTTGTATCATGAAAAAAACTACATAATATAAGAAATACTATTACTAACTAGGCCAGGGGTCTCCAAACTGTAGCTCAGCCCACCCCCTTCCAAGTAGCTCACCAAGGGATTTCTGAATTAAACCATTGTGCTTAATAACAAAAAATGGGTAAACTACATTAGCCAGGTTGGCGCCACCTAGAGCCTACGTTCAATTTAGTTTCTCTCCAGCAACTAGGTCAGGAATTGGAATACACTAGACGGTTTGCAAGAACCCCAGAAGTGCGAGTTCGGGCACCAGCCAATCAGCGAAGAGTGATATATTCTGTGTTGGCAACAATTCCCGAGATCGAGGATTTAAAGCCGGAGCAAAGAGAATGTTTGGTGAATTTTATCAAGGTGAAAGACATTATTGCCTTTCTTCCTATGGGATTTGGAAAAAGCTTAATATACCAGTTAGTTCCTTTAGTGACGCATTACATACGTCACGACCAAATAGCAGTGATTGGTTAAATAAAAAGTACCTGCCTACTGTCAAGCGAACAAATTCTAATGCTGCGAGGTCAGACAGTTTCCACAAAGTGAAACCGACTTATGAATCAGGCTAAAACTACATGCCTATTACCACAGTAAATGTATCATTGACTTTGGGCATCAGGTCCCAAATGTGTACATGTATATATCCTTGTTTTTTGTTTGTTAGTTTTTTTGTTACTGTTGTTGATTTTGTTGTACCTTGCTCAAACAAATAAAATGAATGAATGAAAAAAAATAATTCCGATGCCCAACTTTGTGCACTAATGGACAATGGTTTATGTTTTATAAGCATCTAACTGTACCCCAAAGTTTGCCCTCTTTTTTAGTATCATCTCAATTTCTTGCGGTCACAAAAATGAGTAGCTCTCTGGCATTTTCATTTTATAAAGGTAGATCATTGCAGGAAAAAGGTTGGAGACCCCCGGTTTAGGCACAGACTGTCTACATTAAAGCCATGCTATGTCACTTATCTATTTTGGGTTTAGACCTGGTGTAGTATTCTTATCTTTTATAGCTTTGTTTTATTGCAAAAAAAATATATATATATATATATATATATATATATACTATATATATATATTATATATATATATATATTATATAATATATATAACAACACATTGAAAAACACATTCTTAGTGAAAGCTGGTTCACCTCACAACAGATCTGACCTGTAACTCAGCCTGGTAACATCATCTAGTCCTGGTATAGTCCTGGTATAATCCTGGTTAGTCCTGGTTAAGTCCTGGCTTAGTTATGGTTTAGACCTGGTTCAGTCCTGGTTATAGTCCTGGTTAGTCCTGGTTAGTCCTGGTTTAAGTCCTGGTTAAGTCCTGGTTAAGTCCTGGTTAAGTCCTGGCTTAGTTCTGGTTTAGTCCTGGTTTAGTCCTGGTTCAGTCCTGGCTTAGTTCTGGTTTAGTCCTGGTTTAGTCCTGGTTTACCTGGTTTAGACCTGGTTCAGTTCTGGTTTAGTCCTTATCTATTTTGCATTTATTCCTTTATAGGTTTGTTTTATTGCAAAAATATATATATAAATACACTGAAAAGCACATTCTTAGTGAAAGCTGGCTCGCCTCACAACAGATCTGACCTGTAACTCAGCCTGGAAATATCACCTTCTTGCCTCTATGCATTTTCCTCAAAAAAAAAGTTATAATTCATGTTTTATTGATTTTATTTGACCTTTGTTTTACCAGGCAGGCTATTACCATCCTATTACTATGCTAGTCCTGCACTATAGGTAAAGTGCAACCCATCAATCCTTTCTCATTCCTCACTTTTATTGAGACGTCTTTTTCAAAACACCGGAGGCTCCCCGACTCGATGTTTCAAAATGACCCTATCAGATCTATTGTGGGGTGTTGACGATAACTGTCACACATTCAGTTTCCCTTTAATAACTACAAACAAGAAGTAAAGCTCAGGAGGAAGTGCTGTTTACTTCCGCCGATAAGACAGGCAGCTTTGGGTGATATGAAAAAAATAAATAAATTGAGAAGATGGCGGTCTAAAGTTAGCCCTTTATCTGCTGTTGTTCTAAATGGAGTTTGGCTCAGGGAAAATGTTGTTTAATGGGGTTTAGATCCAAAATGGCGTCTGCGCTTACCTGCTTCTGGGTAGAAACATGGACTCCTTGATGAAGACGGAGCCGGATAAGAGGATGTACCAGCAGCTTCCAATGTCGTCGGGACTGAAAAAAATTAATAAAAACGGAGAGAGGAATTAGATGTATGCAATCAGCGAAAGGAGGAATTTATAATGCACTCAGGCTAGACGCGAATCAATGCAAAGACAGACATAGCTAGTGATTTGGTTAACCTTATGTGACACTGAAAAATGAAAGTTGCACACAAGATGACAGGAGCTTAGTTGGTAGATTGTTCTCCCTCTGATCCGAAAGTTGACAGTTTTAAACCCCCAGGTAAATGCTTGACGAAATGTCCTTGAGCAACACACTTAATCTGCCTCGGCCCCAGGGGTGTAGTGGGCGTTGTACGCGGGGAAACGCCGTCCACCCACTTCTCCCGACGTGGGATATGAAAAAATAACAAAATAGGATGAAATAGCTACAACTTAAATGTCAAACTGGAGCTACTGGCAACGGTGAAAACAACCTGCATAGGCTCATGATATCTGCAGTACTGTCCTACAGTGACCTGCCACATGACGGACCAGGACTGATCCTAGGACTGAACCCAGGACTGAACCCAGGACTGAACCAGGTCTAAACCAGGAATAAACCAGAACTGAATCAGGGCTGAGTGTCGGGTGACCGCAGGTGAAAGGACAGGCACAGAGCTCCATGCCCCACGGGGCTAAGAACAGCAGTCGCACGATCGGGCTTTGTGGACAAGCTGCTCCACAGGCCCTGGGTTCTCTCTCCCATTCGCAAGTCCAAGATTAGTCCTGGTTTAGTCTTGGCTTAGAACTGGTTTAATCCTGGTTTAAACCTGGTTTAGACCTGGTGAAGTCCTGGTATAGTCTTGGTTTAGACCTGGTTTAGACCTGGTTCAGTCCTGGTTCAGTTTTGATTTAGTCCTAGTTTAGTCCTGGTTTAGTCCTGGGTAAATCCTGGGTTAGTCCTGGTTTAGTCCGGGTTCAGTTTTGATTTAGTCCTGGTGCAGTCCTGGTTCAGTTTTGATTTAGTCCTGGTTTAGACCTGATTTAGACCTGGTTTAAACCTGGTTCAGTCCTGGTTTAGTCCTGGTTCAGTTTTGATTTAGTCCTGGTTTAGACCTGTTTTAGACCTGGTTTAGTCCTGGATCAGTCCTGGTTTAGTTCTGTTTAAGTCCTAGTTCAGTCCTGATTTAGTTCTGGTTTAGTCCTGGTTCAGTCCTAGGCACATGTGTTGTAGCCTATGATTTATGTTCTGTAGGTGATTATTATTAACATTGTTAATGTTAATAACATGATTCCACATCATTTTGAGAAAAAAAAACCCATCAAATATTACTGATTTTTACTGAGCTGGTGCCTTTATGTTTGTATTGAAATTGAAAAAAAAAAAAAAACACAGATAAAAACTTAAAAAATAAAATAAAATAAAATAAAATATTACAAATTAAAGTGTACTATGTAATTTTCTGGGGGTGGAAAGTCAATTGCGTGATTTCATGGAAGTAAAAAGTTAAAACCATTCTTCAAGTTCAACATTCTTCAAGTTTTATACCATAATGTGGAATATTATAGCCAAAAGAACAACATTTCCATGAAAACAAGCGAGGAGGAAGAGTTAGGCTCATTCAGGCCAAGAAAGAGTCAGGTTTATGCAAATGCAAGCCCATGTTATTTGACCATAATGTAAAAAAAAAAAAAAAAAGTTTATTTTAGTCAATTTTGTTTGCAAAAAAGTTACATACTGGGGCTTTAATATTGTGCAGTAGAATAAATATACAATCGTAGTTACACAATTCAAATGAGCTAAACCAAGCAGCATGATCCTTATTCCTTTGATTAGCAAGACTAAATACTAAAATCTATCAAAAATATGAGACTAAAACTTCTAAATTGCATTTCACTGCACACAATATAACGATTTTAGAAGAACTGGCTTTAGAGAAACTATTTCAACACTACTTTAATTAAGTTACAGAGGAAATTTCAACAGCGAATTATGTCAGTGCATTGCCAGTAGATCATAACTCTTGGAACATGATATCCAGTCTTTGCAAACTCCCTCCAGCTAAATATAGATCACAAATTTCAAAGGAATAAGATAAACGCTGCAATACGCCTGGGAGACAGAACTATGAATGAACTGAAGATTTCATGTCTCATCCTCCCACACTGGAACCAGACAAGAGAATCACGTCTACTAAATAAACTCCAAATGACCCCTGATTAGGCGGCCATCTTAAAACGAGACTGACGCGTAAACATTCTAGACATTTTTTGGCATCCGGGTGGCTATTTACGTCTTCAAAGTGACGGATTTGCGAGAAGCGTTCCATACTTAAGTGGCAGTTCAGATAAGCAAACACCACTCATTATAAAAGTCATTACAACTCTTATTCCCCAGACTTGTCCGTCTCGCTTAAATTCTCATCTTTGGGATTGCCAAGAGATTATCTAGTAGGGATGGGCATTCGATGAAATTTTCTTAAACAATCGTCGAGAGAATTAACAATCGATTATCGATTAATCATTAACGTTTTTATATTAAAATGATCATCATTATTATTACTATCTGCACTCCTAATCTGCATAAATAAATTCAACTTTATGACCACTCTAGAGCCACATCAACCTGTTTATTATAATGTGTTTAATTCAGTTTTGAACAACTCTCACAGAAACGAAACTTAAAACCGCATCGCTAATTTGCATAAACTAAGCGAAGATAAAAACTACAGCTCTTGTGTCGCTGATGCGGTTCAATTTCTGTTGGATTAAAAGACACGACTCAAAGGAATACAGGTTAGTGTGACCATATTTGCGTTTGTCAAAACTAGGACACCGTACGAGGGGCGGGAGGTGGGGACTCGTCATCGACATTGCACTACTCTCACCTAGCAAAGCTTTTTCCCACTGGACACCGAAACATATGTGCTGCTTTGTACACTGTGCACATGGCCTCACACTTGTCCCGAACGCAACAGAAAGTGTGCAATTTCTTGTACAAGTCATCGTTAAATACGCATATGCACTTCGGTACGTTGCAGGCGAACTGACTGTTTGTGTCTCGCTCCTTCTGAGTGCACAGAGCTACATGTACGGACCCCCGTTTGGTCACACTACACACAGCAACCTGCATTCGGTTTGTCGATTATAATTTACGTAATCGATTAAATTCTTAATGATCAATTATCGATGAATCGACTAATCATGCCCATCCCTATTATCTAGGTATCGCTGCCGAGATATGGTCAATCTTCCGTACATGCAGGATTGGCGGGATACGTAAACAAACTGCGCAGACGGATAATGGCGGTTAATGCGTGAATTCATGAATATGCGGGCTTAAAGGTCCTATAGGGTTCCCACTCTTTTTCTCTGACAAAATTTCAACTTTTTCATGACCTAAGTGAATTTTCCATGACTTCACGGCACCTACATGTGTAGAAGTGATCATACTTTTAGGGCTAAATATGACATGTTAACCCTTTCCACTCACCTTATGCTTTGGTATTATAGTTTAACATTCAAAATACTGTCAGTGCATTTATTACCTGGTCCCCGAAGGGTTGACCAGGTTTTGTATTCACCCTGTGTGTGTGTGTGTGTGTCTGTCCACCTGTGATAATTCCGCCATTTAAGGACCGATTGTCACCAAATTTGGTACGTGGGTCAAGCCCCGTGCCCGATGCCGCAAAAAAATGTTTGGTGACGATCCAAGGTCATTTGAGGTCACACGGGTCAATTGAAAGGTCATGCCTTAATAAAAGACAGGCAATTTCAGCAATTTCTGAACCATCTGCGGGCTAAAATATTCACCCAATCATCACACAAGTTGGCACACACATAACCGGGGTACACTGGATGTTACAGGTTGAAACCGGTCAAGGTCACTTGAAGGTCAAGGTATGTCAAATATGCGTTTTTGGTCATAACTCTGCGAAGGATCGAGCTAGAGCAACTGGGAGTGTTCTCAAAATCTCAGAAAAATTATTATCTATTTTATAATTCTACGCATTTGTATAGAAAAATATTAATAGTTTTTGAGATAATCACTAATTATAACAGTTCCTTTCTCTTTCAGTATATGCAGTTAAAATTCTAATTAGAATGAAAATTATTTCCATTTCTTCTTTTTCTGGTGATAAACAACACACTGATCTAAAGTTACAGAACTAACAGATACAGAACTCATGAAAAAAAACGTTTTTGTGACACGCTAGTAAACACAGACATTCTCATGTGTGACCAATATCACACAAATATTCATGGGCACTGTTCAGATACACACATTGCATTGTGGATATAACGATCATGTAATATGGGCTGGGCTCCTCATAAACTGCTTCTGTGGTGATGAACTGTCCCCACCGATGCCTCATGGGGGACCAGGTTGCTATGTCTGAATGTGCTTGTTGTCTTCTCTTTTAAGCAACAATAATCATAATAGCCTAATGATAACTTAACAGAATGCTGTAGTTGCGTGAAATAGATACTAAAATTCCAAGACTTTTCCAAAACTTTCATTGAATTTACAAAGCCAGGCCTGGAAAATGACTTTCAATATCCATGACTTTTCCAGGATTTCCATGATCGTGGGAACCCTGTGGACGGCTCCCTGCTCCTGGTGTAGACGGCTCCTCTGATGGTGCTTCTTTCTCAACTGGTTCGCCTGTATTCAGCCTCACATTTTACTATCTGTAGTTGTATCCATTTGTGAGTGTGTGTGCATGTTTGTGCATGTGTGTGTGTGTGTGTGTGTGTGTGTGTGTCTGGGTTGTTTGGATGTGTGGAGTCGGGCAGTTGTGGGGGTTGGGTAGGTGGGTGGGCAGAAGGAAATGTGGGATTGTTTTTAATCAGTGTAAAGGACTTTGTGTTACATTCTTGAATGAAAGTGCTTTAAAAATGAAGTTTGACTGATTGATTGATATATTACGCAAAAATGGACTCAGCTTTAAGCCATGTTTTAATGTACTAATGTCCCCTTTAAAACATACCTGAAGTTCTGGTTTGTTTCATTTACACGCTGTCATTTTTGAATAACCCTGCATTATTAGTCTGTCTACATCTCCAAAT